CATGATAAACGCATGATAAGCACGTGGTCGAAACCGAAACGGACAAACGGCAATACCAAAAGATCATCGTACCGTATTTGAAAAATAAATGTGTAGAATATCGTCCAAACAAGTCAAAAGCTTTAACAAAAGCGGATATTGAGAGATTATTACAAGAGGCACCATCAGATGAAGGCTGATCTTATTTATGATGAAAATATTATTCATTGCGTCCAGAGTACACTAACAGCCGTAGATTTTTTTTAGATAGGTCAATGGGAAATTTGTCGTCAGGTTATTATTGGTTTAATAAAATTAAAAATATTTCAAAAGAAATTAAAACATATTTAAAGTTACCGGCAGCTGAGTCATTTTTTCCGAAGTTCATCTAGCGCATTACTAGCTGATTTGGAGTTGATTTCGCCAGTCTTAAAAGACATGGAGACTGGTGGTCTTCGACGTTGTGTAGAAATATATTAATGAATCAATTGAGAAGAAAATTGAAATTTCTAATAGTGTCTTATCTTGCTCCGAGTGCCTTTAATCAAGAAACTATTGCAGAGAACGACTTACTATCCCCAGATTTATTAAAAATAAGATTTTTGAGTTTTTTCTTACTTATATCATTGAAAAGCCAAATAAATGTTCTATTAGCTCAGCTTAAAATTCAATATGGCGCCCATAAGAAAAAAGAAAGTTGATAATGGTTTCTCGCAGCCGAAACGTCGCAATGAAAACATAAATATACAGTGAAAGTCCTCGAAAAAACTTGATATGGAGAAGTGTTTTCAGATTTTAAAATTCGTCTAAATAAAAAAGTTACAGGCGATTTTCGAAAACGCCACATTTATGTTTTTTCACCCGGAGAAATGACGTGTTAACCCGGAACTTGAAGATGTAGCATCAAAACCCGAAAACTCCGTGTCAAACCCGGAGATCTGACCACAGTACCTACTCGGAACAGGAATACTTTTTTAAAGATTTTCTGATGTCTTAACATGAAGATTAATGTTTATTTTTTTTTAAACCAATAAAGACCATTTACGTTCCTGAAACCTACAAAATTTTAAAAATATTTTTCTCGTAAGTGCAGTTTGTTCACTAGAAAAAAGTTTCACAGGACCACAAAAAGAAAAATGAGTGGAGGGTTCCTTGAACAAGACCTAGTGGATTATATGTTTTTTGGGTCGCTGAAACCGAATCCGAAACCTGTTTTGTACCATCACGTTTTTTTAACCTCAAAAAACAGCTTGAAACTATAAAATCCAACACTATCATCCCTTAAACCATATAACCCTATACTTTTATAACTCAGTAACCTTGAGATCGATAACCTATAACTCTAAAACCCATAACCTGAAAATCTATAACCCCAAAACTCATAAATCTCAGATCCCAATAAACTGCAAAAACAAAAAACCTACAAACTAAACTCAAACCTCAATCTCGGAAAGATTTAACTTCATAATTCTACACCTCCATCACATTTATAACCTCATAATCCATAAATACCATAACCGTGAAGTGTATGTGTAACATAAAAAAATTGCACGTCACACAATATAATATAGGGTTATGAGGTTTTAGATTACTGGGGTTATAGGCTGTTGAGTGTTGGGGTTATAGGTTATGGGGTTATAGGACTCCAGGGTTATGGGAATTCAGAGTTATGGGGTTTATAGTTATGAAGTGATGCATGTATAGAATTATAAAGTTAAAACTCTCCGATATTGCGTGTAAGTTTTTTGTTTTTTGCTCATTTTGTGTTTGAGATTTATGAGTTTTGAGGTTATAGATTTTCAGGTTATGGGTTTTAGAGTTATAGGTTATCGATCTCAAGGTTATTGAGTTATGGAAGTATAGGGTTATATGGTTTAAGGGTTGATATTGTTGGGTTTCACGACCCAAAAAACATATGATCCACTTGGTTTGGTTCAAGGAACCCTCCACTCATTTTTTTGTGGTCCTGTGTTATTAATTAAAAAAATATAACTTTGAGGTTATGTAATTTCGTTAATATTGACTTCTCGAGTCGGTGTCATCGTATATTACTGTTATGCCTAAAAATATTTTTTACGCATGTGTTTTTTTAATAACAGAGAAACACAGTTATACACAACACATCCATACCACAGCTTAATAATACAGGGATGGCCAGAAGTACGGAATAAAATTCATATCTTTTGAATGAGTTAATTTTTTTTTTAAAACGCCGAAACACGTTAACTGATTTTGATTTTTTCCCATCTTTCGGTTATATAATAATTAATTTTTCTTCAACCCCCTAACTCTCAGCTACCCCTACTTTTTTTTCAAATGGAAACATAAGGCATGAGGGGGTTCGTTGAAAAGCTTATAGAAAACCGAATCCAGCCATAACAAATAAACAAGTTTTATTTTTTCAATAACAAATTTTTTTCAATTAGAAATTGAAACAACTAGATAATTTACAAAAATAAACTCAATGTCGCAAATGCTGAAAATGTCCTCCATTGACTATTTGGCATTCTCCAAATCGATAGTAAAAGCTGTCCACAGCATTCTGAATGACTTCAACTGGTAAATTAAGCAATTCCGCCCTAATCTTGTTCTTTAAATTCTCAATATTATCCGGTCTGTCCTGGTAGACTCTTTCTTTCAAATATCCCCAAAGAAAATAATCCAGGGGTGTTAAGTCGGGGGATCTTGGCGGCCATTCAACTGTACCCCGTCTACCAATCCAGCGATTTGGAAACATTTCATCTAAGTATCTTCGAACATCAATACCAAAATGTGGGGGAGCGCCATCTTGTTGGAACCAAATTCTTTCATTCGGTATATCTGGATCAATTTCATGAGGGAAAATCA